CGACACAAATTGCCGTCGCAGTCCTGGAAAGGGGAACCGTATGTGACCTAGCGGTGATTCAATCCAGTAAATTGAATGGTGTTTTTGCGGATTTCTATGCCATCTACGCAACAAAAAAGGAGAAATCTACTCAAAAAGTTATCTTATTGCCATCATGCAAGGTTTGCGGCGACATTTACAAAAACCATCATGTGGCAGAGATTTCGACATTCCATTGTTTGTGCACCTTCTTTCAATTTTAGTAATTGTACCGTTACAATTAACAACAACTTATCAATCAAAACTTCAAATGTTACGTTCAAATTTCCAGCTGTTGTTAATTATCAAATATGTTATCAATGAAGTTCCTCATGTTTGTCTTTTTATTGACAAATAACAGTCATGTGATGTACTAAATCTATTATGACCCTTTCCCTCGGGAACAGTTCTCTTATAGTGTTGTCTGGGGAGGTATAGTGCCCCACGCAACACTATAATTCACAGCTTTTATAAGCACCAGTTGTCACGTCTTTACCCGATGAATATCGGGTTTATTCTACTAAACCCAAAAATACAAGGTCGCTAGACGAGGACAACGCAGGCTCAATTTCTGATCAATACTTTTTATAAATCAAAACACATCTAAACTTTATTAATATTCATTTGTGCTGCCTCCTTATGTATTGGCAAAGAATCAATTTGTTCAAACTAAACACAAAAACGATATTGATAAAAGCGACATCATATGCTAGTCACGGCATTATTTCCATATTTTCGTTAATTTATGCAATCAATAAATGATGCGAATTAAAATGAGATAGCCCGCAGTTATTGAGTTTGATTGTGTCCCAGATCCTGTGACATTGCCTTATATCAAATACCTAACCGCCATTAGTCTTTTGTATAATTACGTTGTGCATGACGTACTGTTTGGCAAGTGTTGTTCCAATCTCTATCCAGAGTTGTCGTTCCAAACACTCACTTCCGGATAGAGATTCGTGTTGTTCATGTCTATATTTAATCACAGAGCTGACGTGTCCTCACTTCCGCATCTAAAGCGAATAGGAGAGCGTCAACGGTCTCTAGAGGGACATCCGTCTTTCGCATGCTTACTTCCCTGTATGTTAATGCATAGTTACTTAACTGTGTAGACTAGAAAGATGTTTACAAAATGTATTTTTGGAACACTTGAATAATTCCTATATTAATAAGATTACCTGGCATGGGCTGTCTTATTACCTCTGTTCCTCAGTACTCTGAACCGATCTGGGGCCCGGGATAATTATGTATTCTTGCAACGCACTCGGCTACACATGGCGGTAGTTGAACATCGATATTCTGGCCAGAATCTTATCATGAAGCCATATGTTGCCTCTCATTGATACCAGCATTTGAGCAATTATTTCAAGAAATCGTGTTACATTTAATACGGAGCATCAGGGCGTTATGGAACTAATGATATTGTTCTTGTATAAGGCACGTCTAACTAAGCATGGCGGTGATCAAGAAGCGTAACAATTATATTATCATGGAGGTCTGGCCTACACAGGGCGTATTACTGGATCCTATTCTGTTTCCTAAGGTAAATAGAACGATTCTAAACCCGAATTACATAGCCGTAGCTCTCCCTCTTTCCTCCGATAGAGATATCTTTCGGTGGTTGGTGGATCTTTTCTGGCCCTATGATATCATTGTTGAATTTTTACAGCTTTATGGTGGGTTTCTTCCCCAAGACCCTGACTGTGGATTCGACCATGTAATCCCTCCACCCCTATTGGACCCCCCCCCCTCCCCCACACACACACTCATCTTCCAAGCCCATGAGCTACTCATGTCTTTATTTCACATTTTATTGATGGGCTCGTAGGGTGGTAGTGTATGTTATGAGGGAGAGAGGAGTGTTTACATTGCCACTCATTAGAATAGCCAAACAGTGACTTAAAACACACCTTTGCGTAAGGAAGTTATTTTTTTCAGTTTGCAGTACAAGAACAAATATAAAATATATGTTTACATGGCCGCGGTTTCATCAATCTCATATGGAATGGAAGCGAATGTGAGATTCTGTTTATCACATATCGAAATAAATATAGAAACAGTGAATCCAAAGGTTCCTCTTTTGTGACGTCACATTTCAATTGTTAGTCTGGGCTGCCATGAATTTGTGACGTCACAATTGAAACAATTGGAATCTACAAACAATCAGGAAACAGTATTTTGATAAATGTTAATCTGTGACATCATCACATACCAATACACACGTGTAATATCATCCATAGTTACGTCACCAGACACGCACGATGGCGTCACATATTCACGACAAAGACAAAGTTACGGGGTTTCCTTTTCATTTGCCGATCTTAATAATCCAAATATAAATTAACTCTATTTGGATAAGTGAATATTTATGATGAAGTTATATCTAACTCGTTTCTCATTTCTTAAAAGTCATAGCAGTAAGGGAATTGGCCTATATGTAAGATCGCTTGTTCAGCACGTATTTATCACTTTCAGGTAAAAAAAATGAGCACACAACTTTTGTATGAAAATGGCCTCCTCTTCGCTTAAAAGTCATATGAAAAGAGGAATACAGAATTCGTTGAACAATGTATTAGATAAAATTACAACTACGTCACCGAGTGGAAAGATTGTCCCACAGGACTAGTCTTACCTACGTTTTCACACTATACCGGTCTTGTTTCAGCCCAGACTATAAAATATCTCCATCGTTTCCACATCAGTAGTAATTTATACACTCTATGTCAAGTACTTCCATTGAAATAATTGCTCGTGGAGTGTAAACGGATAAAAATGTGCTGAATGTATACATCTTGTTTATGCCTCTAGTCATGTAAGCTTGACAAAGCTTGATGGTTTTGTCGTTTTCTCACTCCCAAGTACCGTGCAATCTGAAATATGCATTTCAGCGAGTATAGGTAATGTGCAGAGGAATCCCGAGTGATGTTATAGAGAAACTGATCATAGTTTACCTGTGTGAATAACGGGCGACATTTTGTATATAAGCTTACCTTCTCAAACAGTTGTTTCCTTTCCTAAGAATATATTCATTTTCGTCCTATTTTCGGAAAACAGATAAGACAAAAACCGAAGAAGAAAAATCTGGACGCTAAATTCATTTTAAGATAGTTTGTGATATGAATCTAGAACCCGGGTCGTTTATAAATACACAATGGAGACAGTTGCCGGTCACTAACACGATAGCCATAACACTCTGAGTACAGTTCTGCTATTGTCGAATTGTCGATTTCTGTAATAATAACCTACATGTATTTCTCTATTCAGACGCCATTCTATCTTAGCTTCACAGTTTTTAGAAATGTGCGTAAGACGTGCGTCAACTGTAGTACACGTATTAAACACTCGGAACACCACATAGTCTATTTCCGAAACATCAGCCCCTAATCCTTCTCTTAGAAATAATATTAATGTTGAGATGAATATTACGCCCAGGTCGCTGAGCATTGTGGTAAAATCGCTACATTCTTTAGGTTTAAACCCCCTATAGGTGTCGCCGCACGGTGTGGTTATCAACGCTCGTGACGTATTCACTACCTAAAACACTCGTTTACTTTCATTTGCTAGTATTACATTTTTACTGTTCGACTTGAACTCATTGGGTGTTATCCACTGAGGAATACGGCAAATAGAAACGAAAATGGGTTCCGAACACTTTGGAGCCAATTTAGGATGTCATATTTCCATCATCGACGTCGTTTTGTCCGCCATTGTTGTTCAGTTGAAGTTTTCGGGAAGAAAATAGAATTAAATAATTATGTTCATCTGACATCTAAGATTGCACTCGTTTAATTTGCACGGGCTAAAGCTTTCATGATAGAAATATCTGTACGCGCAACGCACTCGTGCAATTTGAGATGTTAGATGAAACTATACGCATGGGGTCATATAACTACAGTGAAGATAATATAAGGACTGTTAAATCTTCGCATGTGATAATATAAGATTCCGTGTAGATCTTTATGTAACAACAAGAAATGTGGTTTCTATTTACTTCTTTCAAAGTTGTTGTTCGTAAGCGAATCGAATCAGATAGAAAATGTTATAGCAGAAAACTGCGCGGAGTAGTCTAATAAGTTATGTTTTCGTCCAATATTTACCGGCACTTTTGATAAATATTGGTATACTGAATTTCATGATATACAATGTGTATGCATATGCATACATGTATACCAAATGAATATTGAACATTTGAAGCAAAGTAAAATCTGATATTATGACCACGACTGTAAAGGGTCCGACTGTCTGTAAGGGGGCTTTTGTTTGTTTCGTGTTTTACGGCCTATTAACAGCAATGGTCATTGAAGGGCGTGCTAGGTTTTGGGGGTAAAGGGGCAGTATGATTCTCAATCATTGATCATGTATTGTAAATGCACATTTGTGCCTTTGTGGTCTGTAACCACTAAGCATCCCAGTGTCTTTTTGTGATACATCCATAAACGGAAATAAATCCGATTTTCGTTTGCTTAAATACAATGTCTAACCAGCACCTACTTCAGGTTCTTCTCGTAACTATAGACTAGATTGTAAAGTTATACAGCCGGAGTTATATTGGTAGTATAGGTTCCCGTAGAGTAAACTTACCTACATAGAACTTATTGTGTAGTACCTCGTATACTCTAACCCTTCCTCGGGTTTTTATACGTTACAATGCATACACGTTATGTAAGAGAACCAACCAGTTGTGATCTCTCTGTGTGATAAAAACAGGAGTTCTTTAGTGCAAATCCGGTCAACATGAATGACATACCAGGTACTTAATTAATTAGCTGTTCCTGTGTGATTTTTGTACCTGTACGAACAACAGGGACCTGAAAACTTGTTAAAGCTATATTTGGACCTAAACTAAGGTGTTCAGAGTAATTTTATGATCATATATACCGTGCTTATCTAAATCCCTTAAACATGTAAAATTACTCTGAACACCTTAGTTTAGGTCCAAACATAGCTGTAACAAATCCTCAGGTCCCTGTGGTACGAACGTGTATTGACGTCACGCGGATCCTCATTTGTCGCGTTTTATTATATACCTGTTCGTATTTTCACACCTTTAAGCTGTTACTCGATAATGATGACGATTGGAATTGTTAAACGAATGGATTCTATTTTTCTGTAATAGGATGTGTGGCTTTACTTGTTTTGAATGAATTACAACATGCACGTGATTATATAACACCTTATTTTAACAAGTACGGATTTAACACATTTGGTTTAAGAAATATGACATATTAAGTCATAAGTAAATGCATAACATATCATGCTAGTATTAAACCCGCGACCTTAGGTTAAGCGCGAATGACATTTGAAACTGAGAACAGGATCGTTTACCTATTGTTCAAATGTTACCAGTGTGCTGTAATGCATACAGAAGTCAATTACAGCATTACTGACATCGAGATGTCGTGTTCACCTCAGTGTTTTGACTAGACTTATTGTTGTACAGAGATCTCTAATAGCAATTGCGCCGTTTATTTTCGTCTTTTCTCCGTTTAGTGTTCCGTAATCAATTTATCGTCTGGCGTGAATGCAGGTTGGCGCGGTTTTTCTTGTGGGATAATTCTGTGAAATCAACATCTGTCGTCTGCAGTTCTCGCGTGCACCTTATAACAAATCTGTTAGTTGCAGAAAATCAAAAGACACCATTAATCGTCTGCTTGGTAACACCGTGCTTGGATATAAACACATAAAAAGGGATTATAATAAACTTCGTGTACCCTACATCGATCACAGTACGGGTTCCAAAATGGCTATGGATGAAATACACGCAGAATTAGGAGGAAAATGGAAACTGGATAGGAGTGAGAATTTTGATGAGGTCCTGAAGGAATTAGGTGAGTGAAACATTTGACCTGTAGTCCACACGGACACGCTACACAATTCAAGGTACTAATTGTTATCATAGGGATTTGATTACCTCCGAGACCAATTGATTTTCTTACCTGTGGGTCGGTACTTCAAACAAAAATACCTGTCAAGCACTTATTTGTTTAGCAGACAGACGAGAAACCTAGACTACTCGAGTATCATGAAACCACGAGTGTCTGCTTAAATCCATTGGCAATCGATCATTGTTGAGTCTAGGAAGTGCAGGGAAGTGGCGCGTTTGTAACATTTTAAACTATATACTAAGCATACATGTGTAGTCTATTTAATGGTTCCCAAAGGCTGTGTAAACGTTTGTTAATTTGAATATATAGTACCGAAGGATTTAAAAAGTTCACGCCCAGGGATGATGACGGAATTTTGACATTAGCCAAAAATGTCATCTGGTTTTTCAGTTCCATATCAAACTATACATCACTACAAAGTACAGAGAAATGTATTATAAATTTAATCGATGGAGTTTTCTTATGTGTCATGTACGAATCATCGAGTCCATGTTTTGACCGTCAATTACTTTCTCTGTCTGTTTTTTCAATTAATGTTTTATGTCCACATTATATACGCAAAAGCTGTAAAGTGAGAGTACCGTAAAATATCCAGTATTTACTTTGACAATAAAAACGAAACAACTTTTTGCGTTAAAATACTTGATCCACAATAAGTTTATAGAATATTTTAACTTCATAATGAAATGAAGTTTTAAAAAGCGTCCGTCACGACATATTTGCGCTGTTTATTGGTACATACGACCCTTCTAAGTTCATTTTTAATATTCTCAAATATTCCTTTGATGTAGAGCAACTTGTCTCATAATGAAATCGATATTATGAGATACTATCGGGAAATCTCAATTTTGACACGAAATGGATTCGTCGTGTTTGTCACAAACGTTAAAAGATAATTAAACCGCTCAATAACAACAAAATATTCCGATACAAAATATTGATATTTTTGTGTAAACTCATCAAGAATCCAGCACCACAACAAATATTGTCCAGATTTACGAACGATAAAGATTTGATACATGATCAAGTTAGTGATACAACGAACACTTCTCTATTGATCAAAGTCTGTGTAGATTGGCGCTAATGAATCAATTGTATATGCGTATATATAATTTAGGGGCTGAACATTTTATTTCATGCTAAAAAAATAATTAGTTAATGAAGTGTTAAGGCGAACCATTTTAAACTTGATTCCGTCATCTTTTGAATTACACGTTATTTTATCGTGGACAAAATCTCCGCATAAACACAAAGCTGGTGACAGAAATTGGCGCCATGAAAGACAATGTTTTGTGCATGTGATTGATAAATAAAGTCATTGTATTTTAAAAGAGAGTAATGAAATATAGGATTTTAGTGTTATACCGTATCATTATTATGATAGACACGCAACAGTGCACTGGTTGCCAGTTAAAGCCACAGATTGTTGCAATCCTTTGGCAAACACCACTAATCTCCTAAAAATATACTCCCAAAATGTCATCACAGAAAATCTTCTTTCTTTTAAATTCTTTTAATTTTCAAGATTGTAATTCCGCTGGATCGCAGAAAAAGTGGGTTAATGTATCAAATGTATCTCGCCAGAAAATTGCATCTCTTTTCGCCATGGTATAGGTCGGCACTATCTACACACCATTTTACAGAGAAACTAACGTAAAAGGTTATCATTGTACATTTAGGCTGTTTCAAAACTAACTCAAATTTACTCTGGGTGTTCTGCAATGTTTATGTATTCAGCAGGATATCAGTTATAAGTGTATGGTTGGTAGCAGTGGTTGTTATACCGTACGATACTTTAACACCATATCCTAGTTATGACCCAATGAACTGAATGGCATTCCAAACCCCTTAAAATCACAACAATGTATAGAGTGTGTACAGTACCTTTTAGAATGGTACTGTGTCGTTCCATCACACAAACCACGAGAACATGTTCGAAATATCAAAATACATACATGTATACATCTAAAAGAATATTATACACGTTAGTACATTTACAATGCATATAGAGCAAAACTGCAATGCATGATGGCAAATGACCTATTCCGTCTCTGCGTATTGCAGAGTCATCTTCGCTTGTGAGCAGGTATTGATTGTTACGTCATTGGTTTGTGTGAGAAAAATACTTCGTTTTCTCAAAAATGATGACGTTACTCTCACAAACAAATGACGCAACAATCAATCCCTGTTCACAAGAGAAGATAACTCTGCAATACGCAAAGACGGAATATAACATTATGTATTAATGGTGGATTTCGTAATCAATGTCGTTACACTGCCCCACTAACGGGTATTACTTTAAAATATACATGTATTTCTACCCCACTTTCCTAACATTTTCATCTAAAAACGCATATAGGACGAAGTTGATCGTGGGATTAATACTAACTTAGTTGTCGGATGACAAGTCCATGTGTTTCACACTGTACCATTGCGGGTTCAGACTAAGGTTCCAGACATCAGATATGTCACATATAATATATACTGTACTTAGATCGACCTACCTGTCGCAGGTTACACGTTCTGTCACCAGTAAACGTGTCACCTGAAGGTTCCAATGTGTGTGGTCCTACCTCGCTACAGGCTCCAGACACATTAATATATTGATCACAGGAAATTACTACAATTATTATCTTCCGAAAATACGACAGATTTGGATTGTGTAACTGTGGAAAAATGCCTATAACGGTTTTTAAATTATGTGCAGGTTTGTGACGAAGGGAACTAATTTCTGCCACAATTGCCTCGATGTTTCCATGTCCATACATTAAACGTCTGTAATGTTGTTTAAATATAGATGTTGATCAACCTCCTGCTTTAACATTTTCCGCCACATTGATTGATCAAAATCCTTAATTATGGTATTAACTGGTTTGAAGGATTGCGCTTTCCCCCCTTCGCGGTCCTTCACTACAGCACAGACGTATATACATGTATATATCTACTTACGAGAATTCGTCCGCAATGTAGTACCATGATGCATGCTTATTTATTTCATGTGATATGCTATACAAACATAAGTAATACTAAAAAATAGTAGATTGTATTGGAGATAACGAACTATTTAAAGTTTTATAACAAATATCTGGGTTTAGAGTTGTAAACAGTTCTTTTGTGTGTATCCATTAGCAGACTCATCACTTCAAACGAATGACTACGCGGCCTCACAATAGTGTCGTTCATTCGTCAGTGTGAACAAAAAAATGGTAGAAAGAAGTTCTACAGCGTTTATCGATGAAGCTCGTTTGCTTTTAAAATTTGAAAATTAACAACTGTTAGATGAACATGACAAGCAACAGCTATCAGTTGTGAAACGTTTATAGAAAAACAACATAACACATGTTTTGTGTTATCTTGGAGAAAATGCATGTCGACGGAATAACTTTTTATTTGCATGATAGTTTCGTAGATGATAACTGAAGTTGAGCAAGAACATAATTTGAAGCCATTATATACACTTTCATGTGGCTCAAGTTACTTATCACCTGCTAAAATCACAAAAGAGCAAGTTATTGTATATATTCGCAGTATCTTTTTAATTACTTATTCGTAAATAAACAGGCATTGATCGGATTGGTAGATGCATACACATGTATTTAACTTAGAAAACATGCTAACGTGTAAACGTATAATGATGACATCTTCTTATGTTCTCTTCGAACTTCTTATGATCGAAGTTCCGGTTTAGATTTATAAAAACGAAAACTACGGTACCTGTGTCTTAAATCTCATATAAAATGTAATTCCACAAAACCATATCTTATTGAGCTTTATTACATACTTACTGATAAATACGGGTTTTTTGTATATGCGATACGACACAATTGCTCTAACCCATATCAGCCCTCGCCGTATCACACCCCAAAAACCCGTATCCGCCCCCGCCGTATCACACCCCAAAACCCGTATCAGCCCGCAAAACCCATATCACACCCCTTTTGGAAAAAAACTCGTTTTTCAATATTTCAAAAATAAAAATAAATCCTAAGATAGTAGTTTTTATCACAGGGGCATGGATCGCTTTACTTGTAATATAAAAAAAATAGGGGTCTCCTATACTAATATATACAAAGGGATATAACGACAGACGAAAATCCGTTACCCCCTTTTCTCTTTCAGCTCGTGTCAATCACAAATCTTTGTCCATATTGGATATACCTCGGTTGAATATTGAAGACAATTGATTTATTTACAAAATGAAACCATAACTACGACTGTCTGACACACAGTTATCCACTGACACCGCTTTAAAGTCGCAATTACACCATTAAATTGCGACCGAACCAAATTCTATACTCACGAGAAATGACCAAGTTTCACGGATAAACTCGATAAATATATCCAAGGAATGGTTTAAATCCTTATTTAATATCCTCAATCCAATACATGTGCTACCCGCTTCTCTGAAATACTACGTCGATCCGTTTCTACACATGACAAGTGGTATATGGGGATTTTCCCCCTCGCACACCTGCATTACACAGTAGCAGTCGACAACTAGGCGCCATTTTCTTTCGAATTATTTTACGCTCCGCACAGAATGATGTCCCGCCCTATCATTGGCTACCTGTATGTATGCGAAAGGGAAGCTACTCCAAAAATGTTACCTCATTTGTTTTCCACCACTAATAGGGCGGGACATCATTCTGTGCGGAGCGTAAAATAATTCGAAAGAAAATGGCGCCTAGTTGTCGACTGCTACTGTGTAATGCAGGTGTGCGAGGGGGAAAATCCCGATATACCACTTGTCATGTGTAGAAACTGATCGACGTAGTATTTCAGAGAAGCGGGTAGCACATGTATTGGATTGAGGATATTAAATAAGGATTTAAACCATTCCTTGGATATATTTATCGAGTTTATCCGTGAAACTTGGGCATTTCTCGTGAGTATAGAATTTGGTTCGGTCGCAATTTAATGGTGTAATTGCGACTTTAAAGCGG